AAAAAAAAAAAAAAAAAAAAAAAAAAAAAGTATGAAATGAAATGATTGAACGATGAAATGAGACAAAATGAAGTCAGGAAGCAAGACAACAGCACATACCACAAGCAGTGTTTTCCCTAGAAGGAATGCTGCAGTATGAGGAGACGTGTCTGAAGTCCGTTGTGCCACTGGTGCTTGTGCCATTGCCCTTTGCCTCGCCCCTTCGAGATTTGAGTCGTTGGATTGCACGCGTGTTGTTACAGTGGACGATTGTATCAGCTCTGCTTGCTTTGGGTCTGTGATTCCAGCAAGGACTTTTGCTAATGGTTTGCCAAACAATGGTTTGGCAATGACCTTGTCGAAACCTAAAGATCGTGCCTTCTCATCCTGTGACCTATTCCGGCAGAGCGCAATCAAATGCAGCGCGAATGAGATTGCAGTCCTCGATCCAATCCTCTTCTGAATACCAGAGATGATCAGCTCTTTCCAGTTGCCACCATCCTGAACTGCATCAGTACCCATTATGAGTTCACCATCTACAATCACAATCACAGTATCCCTAGGGACACCGGTTTTTCCCTTCTCCCTCCCATCAACCCTGCCAAGCTCTGTATGTGCTGATGGGGACTGGGACAGCTTCACATCATCGACACAAACTGTACCGATTTGCCTGATTGACTCCTCAGCAAGTTGTTCGACCACGTCTTCTATCCGCTGCACGATGACAGCATGAACATCGCGTTGACGAAGAATACTCCCAACAATTTGTTGTCGGACGGCATTGGAGTCGGCAAGGAAGAACTTTTCCAAGCGCAACTTCGCTTCGCTTACCGTTGAGGATGTCACTGCCTCGGTCACGACTAGTGGTGCAGGAATGTTCCCGTGTGCATCTACACGTCTTACGTCCCCTTCAGCAGTGTCATCTAGTGTGAATGATGCTCTTAAAAAGCTGCTCCTCCTCTCTCCAGTCAATGGCTGCAGTGCTGAAGTAGTGGTACCAGACGACGAACTTGTCCGCTGTGGCTCACCAAAGCCACCAAAGCCACCTTCTTGAATTTGTGCCAGTGATGTCGGCCATTCATTTGGGGCACCTTTGTGAGGAGCTTCAACTGCTTGGCCACTGTCCTGAGTATTGCCTGTGTTCTTCTGCGGTGACATATCTTTCAAATTCAAATCTCCCACACGAGCCTTCTGATTGTTATCCCCCTCCAACCTCGAGGGAGAAGGAATTGGCAGCATACCACGCAAAGGGATGAGGCAGTACATGACAGTTCCTATTCCCTGCAGAGATTTGAAGCCCATCTGACCACCCATCAGTGTAACCATGCCCTTGCAGATGGCAAGGCCCAACCCCAGGCCCCCATATGCACTGCTCTTTGGCTTGTTTTGAGAGGACTCTGCGAATGGTTGAAAGATCCGACGACATGCATCCGACCTTATACCTGGACCAGTGTCCTGCATCATTGAAACATAATGAACGCAAACGTAAAGAATCGTTCTTTCTTTTTTTTCATATATTTTTTTTCAATAGAAATGTTACAATCCTGGGGACTCCAATCCATGCACGAATTTTTTTTGTTTCGCGCTAGCGCCACTCGGTTAGCGCTATCGCCTGCGCTATTTCGCGCCGCAGCCTCGCGCACAGCAGAGCCCACTACCCGAAAGTGAAACGCGCGTCGCGCGCGACTCTTCCAACTCTATTAGAATTAGGGCGGGAAACAGGAGCCCTCACGGCACGCCCGCGGGCGTGGCGTAGCGATCTCCATAGCTGGGCAGGACTCGACAAACAGGGAAAGAGGAGAGAGGTAGAAAGTCACGCAAAAAAGGGAGGAGCCCAAGGGAAGATACTGGGAGGGCAAAGGACTATGCGCCGCGAAGGGTAACAAAGGAAACAGTAAAATGAGGAAGGAGAAGTAAGAGTAAGAGAAGAGGAAAAAGGAGGGAGGAAGAGGAGAGCTAAAACAAGGAAAAAACAAACGCGCTACTCCACCGAATTTCCTTTGTTCGAGGGTGGAATGAAGGAACAGCTCTACCCAAGTTCGGAAAACGACAACTCGTCATCATCAAGCAGACCCACCAGCAGCCGAGGAATCATTACGAGCGCGTGAGTCAAGTGAGCAGGAAACAAATCTCGAACCAGTAGCGAGCAAGAAACAAGCATAAGGAGGGAACGGGCAGCTACATCACGTCACGCCTCCGGGCGTAACATTTCACAACCAGACAAAGCTTCGAAGAACACAAGCGAGAAGAGGGGTTAGTAAAAAGAGAATTTTTTTAGAGGAGGAAAGAGGAGCGGGAGGGAGGTGCTACCTAAGTTCAGAATAAGAAAATACCAAAAGAGGAGGCGAGGAGAAGAAGAGAGAGAGCAGAGAGAACGGAGAAGAGAATCGAGCGAACTTTCCGAACTTTCCAAAAGAGAACGGGCGAAGGAATTTCCACCCACAAACTAAGAAGGCGAATCACCACGAAGACACCACGAAGGCACAGAGGAACATCAGCGAAGAGCAGCACCAAATCGAGACACGAGGTTCGATCTATCTCCCTCGAAGAAGCAAAGGTAACAGCAGCCGACCTTTCCTAAACCTACCCCAAGGAAAGCCAGCAACTACGAGGGACCAGCGCGAGGAGCAATGTTAACAGATTTTTACGGGAAATAGGGCCATCGACTGCACGACAACAGCTATTTCACGAACGGCATACTATAGACCTCCAAAACCGTACAGTCCTAGACTAAAAGCTACTAAAGACAGACACCTACTAGCAACCTGTCACGACAAAGTGCACACGATCACACACGGAAGCCCCGAAACCACGTCACGATAATACCCATCCTTACCGCAGTACCCGCTCTCCCCCCCCACCTCCCCTCCGATCCCGTATCATTATCTCCCCCCCAACCAACCTCTACCTCCACACTATCTCCTTCACATTCCATCAACACGCCTCCTTTCTCCCCAACCGATCCTACTCTTCCCCTTCCCAAACCCAATCGATCAAACCTTCTCTCACCCCAACACACTAAACACCCTTCCCCTATACCGCTTTCCACCCATACCTCGAACATAACCACTTCTACTCCCCTCACCCCTACGCCCACTCAGCCTACACCTCCCCCTCACCTTAACTCCCGTCTAAATTCCTACGCTWCCCCTTCCCCCCCCTACGCARACAAATCGCAACCCAAAACCAACCCATCCCCCCCCCCAYACACACAACATTCCCCCCTCTACWTCCCCCTCCTCCCTTCACCCCCATTTACATTTAGCCCGCCCAATTTGGCGGCAATATCATTCTTAATCGCAAAAAGCGTTATTTAATCTATTTATTTATTTATTTATTTTAATTTATAATTATTATTATTATTATTTAATTATAATAATAATAATTATTATTATTATTATAATTATAATTATTATTATTATTATTATTATTTTTTCTCTTTGATAATTAAGGGATTATTATTACTAATGCGCTTTCTGACCCCATCTTTCACGGTAATCGAAAAATTATCTTTCACACACAAGTAACAGGACCAGTTTGAGGGATTCTTTCAACCCTCGCAAATAAGTTCCTTAATCCTAAAAATCGCAATAATTACTGATTGTTTTTTAAACCCAATATCCTAAATCCTAAGTCACAATAATTACTGATAGTTTCTTAACCCAGTATCATTAATACACAATTTATTAAACACAACAGCTATTGACAACATTAAGTCTTTCGCAGTACTACCAAAATTATCGGTATACACATATCTCTCGCAGATCAGTTTTGGCCCCAATTGCATTGTTTTTGTCTTTCAATTTGCCCTGCGGCAACCCAGACGTAGGCTCATTAACACGCTCCCCAGGTGGGGAGGCGAAGCTCTATGTCTTTTTTTTTGCTCAGTGTCTGACCCCACGCTCCCCAAGTGGGGAGGCGAAACTCTAAGCTTTTTCAGCCACTGCTCAAGTACCTGATCCCACGTTCCCCAGGAGGGGAGGCGAAGCCCACTACTGTGTCCTACTGCTCACTGACTGATCTCACGCTCCCCAAGTGGGAAGGCGAAGTGTTTTTTTCCAACGCTCATTATCTTGCTCAAGTACCTGATCTCACGCTCCCCAGGAGGGGAGGCGAAGCCCAGCGCTGTGTCCTACTGCTCACTGTCTGATCTCACGCTCCCCAAGTGGGGAGGCGAAGCGCTACGTTTTTTTCCAATGCTCATTATCTGATCCCACGCTCCCCAAGAGGGGAGGCGAAGCTCTTCTCCTTTTGACACTGCTCAATTTCTGCCCCTACGCTCCCCAGGTGGGGAGGCGAAGCTCTCTCTGCCCATCTTCAGAACCAACGCCCCCCAAGCGGGGAGGCGAAACCCTGAGTTTTTCCCTCTGCTCAGTCTCTAAGCCCACGCTCCCCAAGTGGGGAGGCAAAGCTATGTGCATTCTTCTACTATCCATCCTTTGATCCAACGCCCCCCAAGTGAGGAGGTGAAACTCTGTGCTTTTTCCCATTGCGCAGTCTCTAATCCCACGCTCCCCAAGCAGGGAGGCAAAGCTCTACTCTCCTTTCACTGCTCAGTTTCTGAGCCCACACTCTTCAAATAGGGAGACGAAGCTCCGCCAGACTCTCCACTCGCGGCCCGGGATTTAATTACACGATCCACCATGGCAGCAACTCACACCACAGCAGCGGCTTCAACATCCACCTCGGGATCGGCCTCAGACGCAGCAACAGGCTCTGCCGCAACCTCCACCCCAGCCTCTGGTACAGCAACAGGCGCGACCTCAGGCACCAAAAGAGCACGAAGCACTAATGATCAAGACCCAAGCCAAGAGGTCCTCAACCTCATGATAAAGGAAACACGCGTCAAACCAATGATTACCAAAGAAATTGTGAAAATCAGCAAGGATGAAGAAGCAGAAGTCGAAGTTTGGGTATATCCTAAGGAACACTTGCCCGTGTTAGACGAATTTTTCGAAAAACACGCAGTCGTGTGCTCTTTCCCAGCCAAACTAAAACAACTGCCGCCCACTGAGAAAAGGAAAAGGGTCCGCGACGCTCTCCATAACATGGAGAACCTGCGGGACACGGTCCCCAAGATTGCCTTACAACAGAGAGGGAAAACTGTTGTCACAGTATTATGTGCTGAACCAGACTACGCAGCCTACCTCTTGTCAGTACAGGCTCTCTACTGCGAAGGATCAGTTGTCTCCATCTCCAAATGGAAACCCAACCGGGCAGCAACGCAAGGCACATCGAGACATCGACAGACGCTGATGTACAAGCACTTTTGGATCCAGCTTGACAACCTGACTGACGAAGTACACCAAATGGTAGAGGACAGATTGAAAGATTCCTATCCTCAGTACCCTCTGGTAGAATGGGTCTCATCAGCCCCGAGCTTCCTCGCTCCCAGCACCAATTCGAGAATCGCATGCATCGAACTCAAAGGAAGCAACCCACCAGAACTGCCCGACAAATGGTATTTCATAGCAGATCAGAAGGTCACAACAATTTACATTTCCACGAAGGCGAACCCCATGTGCTTTAGATGCAGAATCAAGGGACACATGGGGAACGACCCTCTCTGCCCCCTGAACACGAGGAAAGGGGAAGGCAGAAGATTGCATCCCTCGATGTTGATCGAAGCTGATGCAATGAAAGGCATCTGGATCATCAACGACCCAGCCTACGCGGGCTGGGTCTTTGACGACCTCAAAGACAGCCCAGCGTGGATATGGACACTGGAGGACCTAGAGCCAACATGCAAGCCAGATGTCTTTCCCCCACATGGAAGCAGATGGCAAAACGGAGGAGGTAACAGGAACGACAGGTCCACACACAAATATGAGAATGTTGCTTTGGGCAACGCGGAGCGCCTGGAACAGACAATGCACAAAATTCAGATTCTCAGTGGCGTGCACAACATAGGAAGAGAGGCGGAGAAATCCTACCTCGAAATCCTTCAGACCAGAACTGAATTGGAATCAAAGAACACAGAGAACAGCAAGAAGAAAGAGTCGGGACCAACGAAAAGAAAGAGCAGGAACGAAGAAGAAGAGCCCATATAAAAAGGCAAAGCCCCAGACACCAAGAAAAGCAGAGACAACAACACCTCAATAGAGAGCAGGGAAAGTGAAATGCACTTGGACATAGCACCACCGACGAAACCAGCTGCAACCAGCCAGACTGAAATGCCCGAAGAGGACTCTAAGAGCACCCTGGAATGGTTGGATGAATACATTGAATCTCTGAAAGCACGCAGAGACCTTGACTTGGAAATCAGGCTGGCTCATGCCAAACATATCAGCATCCTGAAGAAAGAGTCGAACTCAATCGCAGCAGGAGGATTCCCAACTTCCCCAAACCGCTTCGAAGTGCTGCCAACAGAGAACATCTTCTCTGAATTCTTGGCCCTGCAATACGCTAATCAGCTCAATGATGCAATGGACACAGATGCCACCACAGGATCGGTC